TGGGGACGGCTCGTGCTCACCGCGCTCTCTCTTGCAGGTACTATGCGCTGGGACTGCTCTATCGGTACAACCACCAGGATGCGGCCGCAGTGCAGGTGGGTTCAGGGCACGCTTGCGTTATTTTACATCAGTGCCATTTAACGTGGTGTCACTTAGAGAACAGTCAGCAGGTGGGGAGGCCACTGTGGCCGGGTGTGTGTGGTTTTTGTTGCAGAACAAAAATAATGTCATTTTAAAATGTGGATGCCCTGAGGAAGGTGGCCAGGAGTTATCCTTTATACACCACGTCTTTATAGCTCTTTAAAGAACATTATCGAGATTGAGTTGTTGAAAATTTAAGGCATGAAAAGGTGACTTCTTCCTGGACCATGTGGCATGCGACCTTACTCCACTCGGGGGAGTGTGGGGGTCGATCAGCTGAGGTCACCGTTTTCACTGTCGATGACAGTAACTATTGCAAGAAATGTGGGTCAGTTATGGCCCCGTGTGACCTGGGACAGACCGAAGCCGATCGGGGCTGGTCATGCCCAAGGGCAGGGGTAGGGCTGGGGTTAAGCCAGCACTAGGTGGTAGGTGGTCCCAGTGGGGTCACTGCCCGTGAGTTGGAAGTGGCATGAACTTGTGTGTCTCTCCTGGTGTGAAAACCCCTCATCTCTTGCTGTGGGGAGACGTTCTTTGCTGCCTGTTAGCCCATGTGCTGCACCGTGTGGTCGGTTCCTGGCGTACCTTGGTGTTGACAAGGGGCCACGGGCATGGGCAGTATTCACCAAGCTCAGGTTGACTTGGGCAAACCAAAGTCTTCGGTTGCTTGGAGAAATAGTCATGGTAACATCACAGAGCAAAGGCAAAGAGAATCGGGGTCCCGCCAACACGAGCCCAGTGGCCGGGAGTAGACGGGTGTCGAAGCTAACTGTAATTTTGGAGACAGGGTGCTCTCAGAGTTACAGCTGATATAGGTAATAACGTAGATGCAGACCTCTAGAGAGACCTGACTTGGCAGAGCCCGAGCAGATCTCCGTGGGTGGCAGAAGGCTGTGGGGGCCCACGAGCAATATCCGTGTGTGACCGAGTTACTCGGCTCGGGGCGTCCAGTGCTGCGGAAAGCAGCTCACAGCACACTCCCATGTGCCAGCCTCGGCTGCTGCGTGTATGCTGCTGCCCTGCTTCTCTCGCTTCTTGTGGGAGCCGTGTTCGGCAGCGCAGACGGGGGCGGGGGGGGGGGGGGAGGGGCGCCCCCACGGGCCGCCGC